CAAATGTCAGCATCGCAAATGTCATCCTCTAATAATTTATAAGAAGATTCTCGGAATATAAGCCCATTAGTTTTCCATGGAAGTCTTGATCACACGGTAGCTAGTTGACCTCCGACAGAATGGCAATGAAATTTCTCTTATTAAACCAACAACTACGACTACAAAACACTTAATAATTCACAACTGAAATTCATCGAACTTATTGATGACTGTGATGTTGTTGTAATAATTTTTTTTTATGACAACCACTTATTTTGCTAAGACTATCCAAATTTAATTGATATTCATATTTTTTTAAATAAATAGTTATAATATTTAAAAACATTGGATTAACTGCATGAGAGACTTGAGCCTTGTTTCCTATTTGTTAGAACTTGGGCTTCTGTTCATTGCGGATCAAGGTTATATGGGCTAGCTTATAGTGTCAGTTTAGCCAGATTGGAGAACATCTTTTCTATTATAAAAGAGGCCATATTGGCCCACTCCATTTTGTCTTGGGCTCCCCAACCTGCTGTGGTGGTCCATTTTTTCAAACATTGCCGGCTTGCAGCATTGTGTCTTGCTGCTTTCCTTCAGGAGCTTTTTCTATATTTGGCGGCTTGGTGCCCTGTTTTCAGCATCGTTTCTGGTTGCTTTCCTTCAAGAGCTTTTTCTATATTTGGTGCATTGCTTTCTGGTGCAAGCCAGAAAAAATAGACCACATCAGGTTAGGGAGCCCAAGACAAAACAGTGGTCCATTTTATCTATATTTGGTGCTCTGTTTTCATAGGCTGCTTTCTCTCAGTTTCAATCAAAGCGTTATATTTTCGTCTGGAGGCCATTTGTCTGGATTGGAGAAACGCATACTAGTGGTATGGGCCCTCTTTTAACTCATATAAGATAAAATTGTGCAAGTCCTCGTTTCTAATTTTATGGCCCTAACTAGTAAACAACAAGGACACCCCGAATTGGCGAATCCTCTCGTGAGGCCTAGGCCCAACCAAAGTTGTCAATATCATATCTACATGTATATCGATTTTATCATTAAAATGATACATATTAGATACTAAAATTTTTTATGTATCATTTCAAATTTACCACTATAAATATATATATCTTTATAAAAAAGATAGATATTTTATAATATATGAAATATTAATTAAATTTTAATATATTTAATTTTTAATTTAGGCATTTAAATTTACTTGTTTATTTTAA